TATTGAAATTGTTGAATAATTATAACATTATGACAGAACAAGTAAAAAATAATAATTGGCATGGAAAGGCAAAAACATTTTTTATCCAAGAACTTTCGGAAAATTCAGTTTTCCCCCAGAATGTACTAAAAATAAAAAATGTAAATCTTGAACCCAGACAGTCTTGCACAGAAACCTTAGCACTTGCACGTTACAATAGTTTAAGGCGCTTTTAGTTTAGTGCTTCAAAAATTCTACATCAAACTTCATTTGTCTGATCCGGTAAAAAAGTCTGTCTAAGGAAATCGGTCAGAGATTTAATACAGACATAGAAAGCTTTTGGTTGTGATGGAACTCTAGTACATGGAAATCTTGTTGACATGATTTCTATAAACATAATACACTGTTGTAGATAAACCCATACTTGTAAATGTAATTGTTTTTCAAAATGATAGTTTACATTTAGGTACTAAATAATATATTATAGGGTAATAAAGTTTTTTTTTTTTAAATGTAAACAGTAGCAGAGCTATTAAAATTTTTTTTCTAAGTCAAACTAACTTTAGTTTGTCCTGAAAAAGCGACTAATGTAAATAGTTAGCATTATTAATTACATTATCATTGCTAAAAATAAAGCGCGATTAATTAACTATTTAAGTTATCTTTATTAAAATATTAAAGTGTATTTTAAAATATTTTTCTCCTTTAAACGTCTTTTCATGTAGTTTTTGCTTGTAAAATGACGTCACTTTCTATTTTTAACCCAGAAGGTGTTTACATTTGGGCGGGAGTCTTGTCACAAGACACCCACATCAAAAGGCCATCCAGAAATCCTTTAAAACGCCAAGCTTAAAATGTGTCAGTGCAGTTAGCGAGGCTCATGTAAACAAAAGAAGCCTTCACCCAACTCACACTGAAACTCTTGAACCGTTCATTGACAACCCTACACAGTCCGCAAGTTTTTGCAGCTTAAAATAAATTAAACCGCGGCAGTTGTTTTATTTTTTTTTACAATTTTACCAGACAAAAAATGGCAAGTCAATGTGCAAAGAGTGAGTAGTATTTCAGCTGCGTGCATGTTTTTCTCGTATCTAACCCCACACTCTGATAACATTTTTTGTGTGTGTGCACAAATGGATGTTTCAGTTTAAGACTGCTGAAAACAAATTGTAACGTGAAGAAATTTTTCATAAGCTTAAAGTTTATTGAACAAGAATTCCAGGATATTATATTATGTTACAGTTATAACTGCATAACCTACTGTAATTTTATTTTTCATATATAACAAACAGTGAGGTTTTACTACGTTTATTTTGACTTTAAAGAACATTGAAGAAGGTATTAGTGATCCCAGTAAATATTGATCAACTAAGTACTGTTTGTAACATCATAGTATGCAGCGAATACGTAGGACTTAGATGTGATGGTGAGTACTCACAACAACAAACGACAGAGAGCCCAAATATAACTTATTAGAGAGCTCACACTGATCAAAGATGGATTGCACGTCCGTTACTTGTGTTGATAAGGAAAAGTGAGTTATCAGTTAAAGCATGTGATGGCAGATGACAATGAACGTGGATGTATTTTCGTAACGAGCACTGAACTATCCATCATACAGATACTGAAGCTATCTGCCAAAGTTACAGGTTATCTGCTAGGGCCAAAATAAATATATAAAATGGTAGCGGCAGTGAGGTTAATGCAATTAGCAATAAAACAGGTAGTGTTAGTATCTTCACAGATTAAAGGCAATTACAGGTACAATAAACTTTTCGACACAAGATCTCCGTCGGCAATGTGGTTAAAGCTAGACAAAAAAGACAACCATTGATGTAAGTTTGGACTTCTTGATTATAAAGAACAAAGAATAACAAAGAGTGAAATATTTAGGACAAAAAAAGAAAGGATGGAATTTAACGTAGAGATATGGGAGGTTTAAAATAACCATCACTCAGACGCCATCAGCAACAACATCAGCAACAACATCAGCAGGCAACATAAACGGTTTGAAGGTTAGGAAAACATGAGATCTATTTATAGCTGCTCGTTACTCTGTTGCCTGACTTAATTTAATGATGTGAGTACCCGACCCAGCCAGACCCCACCTCATCCTTGATGTCCCCCACCCCATCCCATCTCCCAACAACCCAACCACCCCACCCCATCCTTGATCTCCCCCACCCCATACCATCTCCAAACAACCCAACCACCCCACCCCATCCTTGATCTCCCCCACCCCATCCCATCTCCCAACAACACAACCACCCCACCCCATCCTTGATGTCCACCACCCCATCCCATCTCTCAACAACCCAACCACCTCATATTGCCACGACCCCAACACCCCCGCTTATTTTAGACTTAACCTCACTATTACAATTTACCACGATAAATACTCACATAGATTTTATTACTGTTTTTTAAAGGTTACTTTACCACCATTACTGATGTTTTTTAAAAATTACTTTACCACCATTACTGATCAACGTGATGTCTGATCTACACGAGTAGACCAAATATTGATTTAATTTTTTAAAGTGCTGATCAATATCTAACAATATCATCGAAATATTAAGTTCAATGGTAAATTGTAACTATGAGTGAAATTGACGTGATTTTAAAAATATCCCCGCCCTCCTCCCCCCCCCCCCCCGGTTTCATCAAATTATGTACCCTCACATTAGTGACGTTTACAGCAAAGTAAACATTGACAAAATGGGATTTTAGTTCTACATGAAGTATTTATAGACGGATTTAAATTCAAGATGTGATTTACTTCTCAAAAATTGGGTTCCCAATTTTACATTTTCAAAAAAATTCTGTCCCATGACTTTATTCGTTTTAACTAATGAACTTTAATGACGAGCCAATTGTTCATGTTTTTATCTGAAAGAACGCAACAGACCATACACAAAATCTACACAAGCAACGTTTTTAGCAGATAAATTTACCTCTAGAATTTGAGATAATATCGATAAAAACAAGAGATTAAAACACCAATCTTCACATTTTTTCTACAATAGTTTCCTTCCTCCCACCCAGTGGCGCAGCGAGGTCGGGTGTCACCCGGTGCGGCACTTAATGGTGTCACCCCCTCAGAGGCGTAGCGACTCTACCCGGGGACAAACTTTCAATTTTCGATTTGCACCCCCCACCCTCAAACTTTCGATTTGCACCCCCTCCCCTCAAACTTTTGATTTGCACCCCCCCCCCTCGAACTTTCTATTTGCACCGCCCCCTCAAACTTTCGATTTGCACCCCCCCTCAAATTTTTCTCTATATATTTTTTGCCTTGGTGTCACTCCCCTAAATGGTGTCACCCGGTGCGGTCCGCAACCCCCTCGCTACGCCTCTGCTGCTCCCCCTCCCCCCACATCCCAAAGAAAAAAAATTTAAATCACAAAATTAGGAGACAAAAGCGGATGTCACAAAATGCACTAAAGTAAGAAAATATTTCTTTCCCAAAATATCTCAGTTAAATGGTTGTCGCGTCTAAAAATAGAACATACCCGCACTAAATCTAATGTAATTTGATCGTTGAATCTCTTGGTTTGTGCTAAGCGTTGATGTGGCGTGTGGTCAAACCACACAGTTTATACCGTGTGGCGTGTGGTCAAACCACGTAGATTATATTTGCTAACTCAGTAACAACCTTGCCTAGAGGCTAAAGAAAAAAACGAAAAAAAAAACACCTTTTCCAGGACACATGTTTAGGACTGTCTTAACAAAATTATTTGAACTTTAGCAGTCCCTCCATCCTCACTAACAAGATTCCCTTTACATCACAGCCAATATTTTTTACTGTGCCGTTTTGTGGGTTAGGGGGTTGTCTGGGGTTATGGGCCTTTAGGCCGTCGTCACCAGATACAATTTTATACTGCTAGTTCAAAGTTGTACTCTAGGTGGTTTGGTAGTGTTATCACAGGTGGTTTGGTAGTGTTAGTTTATCACAGGTGGTTTGGTAGTGTTAGTTTATCACAGGTGGTTTGGTAGTGTTAGTTTATCACAGGTGGTTAGGTAGTGTTAATATAACACAGGTGGTTTGGTAGTGTTAGTTTAACACAGGTGGTTTGGTAGTGCTAGTTTAACACAGGGGGTTTAGTAGTGATAGTTTTACATAGGTGGTTTGGTAGTGTTAGTTTAACACAGGTGGTTTGGTAGTGCTAGTTTAACACAGGTGGTTTGGTAGTGTTAGTTTAACAAATGTGGTTTGGTAGTGTTAGTTTAACACAGGTGGTTTGGTAGTGTTAGTTTAACAAATGTGGTTTGGTAGTGTTAGTTTAACACAGGTGGTTTGGTAGGGTTAGTTTAACACTGGTGGTTTGGTAGTGTTAGTTTAACAAATGTTGTTTGGTAGTGTTAGTTTAACAAATGTGGTTTGGTAGTGTTAGTTTAACACTGGTGGTTTGGTAGTGTTAGTTTAACACGGGTGTTTTGGTAATGTTAGTTTAACACAGGTGGTTGGTAGTTTAACACAGGTGTTTAGGTAGTTTAACACGGGTGTTTTGGTAATGTTAGTTTAACACAGGTGGTTAGGTAGTTTAACACAGGTGGTTTGGTAGTGTTAGTTTAACACAGGTGGGCTTACCACTAGCTGTAATTAAAGGTGTACTACAAGTTTGGTAGTTAAAATTATCCTGAAACTAAGCATTTTGTTACATTGTAGATGAATGCTCTAATGGGAAAATCAAGAATTTCCCTAAGACCTGATGACATTTGCGTGATATTAAAGTTGAACAGAGCGTAGACCCGTGCACTCAATTTCGGAGAGAAGGGTGGCGTAATGGGGGGGGGGGGGGCAGCCCCAAACGGGGTGAACGGGAGATCGATATGTATCAATTATTGTACTGACCAGAACGCACTACAAAAGCATGGATCATTATGTACCGATAAAATAAAAGACCAATGAGGGGGGGTGGAGCGAAAAGTTTTAGTTGATCTAGACTTCATTTAGTGGAAAAGATTGAGAAAACTACTGATTAGTCAACTTATTAGAGAAAGAAAATGAAAGCTCTTACCATTATAGAGCCGCCTTTGGATCAGAAGAAGTTGTTAGTGTGTGATTTTATTCCAGTGATCTTCCATCTGTTTGTAGGGTCAGACTTTATAAAAACAGACTTTGTGAATACAGACTTTGTAAAAACAGACTTTGTAAATACAGACTTTGAGAAAACAGACGTCTGTTCCGGTACCCCATCTGTATCGTCCTACATTGTGTGACCTCTGTGAGTTCCGCTCCAGTTACTTTTGTCTGACTCGCAGAGATACGTGTCGTCTGGTCACGGTTAGGGTTCCAGGTCTTGACAGGACGAGATACCCGTCACACGTGTAGATACACCCGTCTCTCCTGGTCTACAGGTGGGGGGGGGGGATTGTCAGTCGAGGGTCAGTTTCACGACAATCACACACTGAATTCAGTCTTTTAAAATCAAATTTTGTGTTTCACACTGTACCAGAAACCCAGACAATAGTAAGTTAGTTTAATGTGAATGAATACACCCAGCAACAAGCGTGATTTAGTTATCCAATAAATCGCTATCCCACTTTAAAAACACACCTGGAGATGGTAAAATACTATTTCCTGTTTTAACTGAACTTGTTCTAGCACATCATAACCCACAACACGGTAGTATCTTCACATAAACCTTCATCTACATTAAACACAGAATCTCTGTAATAAAACGATATTCACTCAGTTGTATGCTATGATTGACCTGTATCACATTTAATAAAAAAATCGAAATTTTTATCTTCAACTTGCAATGTAAAACAATGCCGATGTGTCGGTCACTGGATAAAACGTTAGTCATTCAATTTTGTGCTATCGTTGACATGTAGACTATCACACACAATAAAAATCGAAATTTTTATCTTCAACTTTCCATGTAAAACTTAGTCCTTGTGTTGATTACTAGATAAAATACTGCAAAGATAAGTTTCTTTTCCTTTTCCAAAATTCGTCGTCCTATAAAGATAGAGAAAAAAATATATTAATGTAAAATTATGGTTTTCAATTAGAATCTGCAATATTTTTATAATCTTAAAATATACAAGTAATTTTTTACTTTAAAAACATGTATCGATGTACATTTTGAAAGGCATTCATAGTTTTATATCCATCTTCAAGAAATAAAAATGTCTGGTTAATTATGACAATAAGTAAACAGAACGTAATTGATATTTAATTTCTTGGTATATTATTCTGTGGCTCTCATACCATATTAAAATAAAGTAAGTTAGTACAGTTCCCTTTTGAACCTGACTGTCCATTTTGCAAGTCAAGTAGAGTTCACCAGTTTCTGCGAACTAGGCATATTCAATTTCATTGTATATGCGCCTCTCATACCATATTTAAAAATAAAAAGTTAGTAAGTTATTGAAATTCCCCTTTGAACCTAACTGTCCATTGGGCAAGTGAAGTAGAGTTTCTGTGAACAAGGCACATAAACGGGTAGATTGGTCAGCACTATTATATCAGTACCGTTGAATTATTTGTAAACAATGTGTTTACTAAAACAGTTTTTTTTTAACCTTGTTTGTCAACTGTTGTGTTGGATTTGACTTGACAATTGTTGAGTTCCGTCAACATTAACTTAGGCAAGACGAAGGATCACAAATTCATTTATTTGATTCTCAGCACTAAGTCTGTGGATGACAAATATAACCACAGCTTAAATTTGGCACGCGATGTTTGTTTGTGAACAAACAGCTATTTTCAGATTGGAGACATTTCCTTACAGTGTTACATAACAAATTTTAGCTAAAAAATATTTTTTTTTATTCCAACGTTATATAAGGAAACATCATCACACAAATAAAGTAAGTGCAATCCGTCTAAAATTGCTAGGATTTCGGTTGAAAATAACGTGACACAGATAGAAATCATATAAAGTTCAACTAATTGGGGCGATCCAGGATTTTGGTGGCTGTTACGTAGCTGTTTATGTGGATGTGGGTGTGGGGTGGAGGTGGAGTCGGGAGTGGAGGTGGGGTGGGAGGAAATGGAGGATGTTTTCATCAGCGTGGAGCAGGGACCATTTGTAGCTTGTCGGTCTTTAGCTGAGTGAGACAAATCACCAGCCTTGACCTTGGTATTAATTCGATATTTTGTTCTGTGACTGTGAGAAATAAAAAATAATTGGTCGAGCGCCGTATAACGCAGCAACTATACCGTCGCAGTTGGGATTTTTACAGTCACATAAAACTTGAGGATTTACAGATTAAACTTGGCGCTTTGTTTCAAGTCTTTATTTTTAATAAAGAAAGTGTCCTACTCGTTAAGTGTATTTACATGTTATTTAATGCTTTGTTGTCAAAGAAATACGAGTTGTGTGATGTAAAATTTACATTTTTAAATGCAATATAACTAATGATATTTCAGTTTCCTTTGAGATTCCTCTGAGTTACACCAATATCCTTGACTTATAAAAGCGATATCCTACCTCAAGTTCTAATAGAAAACGTACTGCCCGCCATCAATGTGAAATACGTGTAATACGAGTAACTTACCTTAATCGAATCATTACAAAACGGGATTATAATTAAACCTAGCAAACTTAACAAGACTAGAGGTCATAAAATGACACGTATTCCTTGATTCCACAACTCTACGCCGGCTTAATCCGCTAACAACGCAAGCGTTCCGGTCCATTTAATCTCTACAGCGTTTATCTCCGGTAGATAAAGCCGGTTACTTTTTCGTCACGGTGGAGTCTGTGATTAAAGGACTTAACTATAGGGGTGAGAGAACGTATCGGGTATCACGTGGGGTTAGACGTACCTCACTGAATAACAAATGTCAGATCAGCATGAGTGAATCTGGTGGAGAGATGATGTACGTTAAGGAAGTGTGGGTTTAAAAACATATTTAGTGATAGTGTGGTTTTGACAAAAGGCGGTTGAATGTGTGAGATATTTGCATACACTTTCAGTACAATTTAAATATCATTGTAACTTTAGTACAATCTCAGTACAATTTCAATATCACTGTAGCTTTACTACAATCTCAGTACACTTTCAATATCATTGTAGCTTTACTACAATCTCAGTACACTTTCAATATCATTATAGCTTTGCTACAACCTCAGTACAATTTCAATATCATTGTAGCTTTACTACAATCTCAGTACAATTTCAATATCATTGTAGCTTTACTACAATCTCAGTACAATTTCAATATCATTGTAACTTTAATACAATCTCAGTACAATTTCGATATCATTGTAGCTTTACTACAATCTCAGTACAATTTCAATATCATTGTAACTTTAGTACAATCTCAGTACAATTTCAATATCATTACAACTTCAGTGCAACTCCAAATCTTTGTAGCTTTAGTACAATTTTAGTACAAGTTCAATAACATTACAACGCCAATACAACTTTCAGATCATTTTAACTTAAGTATTGAAGGTATAAGGAGAAATATTTGTGATGACTGGTTAAAAACAATACTGGGCCTTTCAATTTTACTGTAGTTTATTGAATGGCAGTAGTAGTACAATTTCTTTTTTCACGCCTGACGGTCCATGGAGCAAGTGAAGTAGAGTTCACCTGTTTCTATGACCTCGGCATTTCAAGTGATAGTGTGGTCAGCACTATGCCAAGTAGCTATACTTTCCCGAACGTTAGGTACTCATCTGAGCGGGGTGACTCAGGGACGTTCTACTTACTTGAACCCGGATTCAAACTCGAGATTTTCGGGTAAGCATTATAGCGCTCTACCACTAGGCCACGCCGCCCCGTGGTTTTTTTTTTGTATAATATAGGAAATTGTTAATAGAAAACCTCTGTGATATGGATAAATGCTGCTTACATCCATAAAACTCATTGACACAGCTTCACATATTGCTACCCTGGTACCCATATATTTATTACATATGTACATATCTAATAAACAGAATAATTACATGAAAGACAGTCTTACAATTTTCTAAATGTAATTTATTACATTGAACTGCAATATATGAAACCTGTCAGCTCCCCACACAAAAAGAACTTTAACTTCCTTGTCCCCTGAGAAATCGACGAATATTTCCTTATGTGTGCACTATAAAGAGAGAATTTTTTTTACCGCCTGTCAACTTTATAAAGCTTTAACATAGTTCTAAGCAGTCTGGGTGGATTTCAGGTTTAAGGAAGCCTTAGTTGGAAATACCTGGAGTTTTAGCATCTTCCTGAATCTTTTGATTTATTTCGTTTGTTTCGACTTAGCTTTGTGATTGAGTGTTACATTTTTTATCTATTATTTCTATGGCATGGTGTATTTGTTTATTAGGAAAATTATTGTTTTTGTACATCTGAGTGTATAATAATAATAATATCTAAAGCGTATGAAATAAAAAAAAATGAATTGTGAATTGTTAATTAAAAATAAATGATTATGTCCTTAGACTTTGTTCTATTTAATGCTGGTTAAATTTTAAAAGTCCTGTGGACTATTTAAATGCTGATGTGTTGGCTAATTTCATGTATAGCGCTGTACATAGGCAAGGCCTCACTACTTATTTAGACCTCTACTTCCATTAGTGTCATCCTTGCAAATCCCGTTCCACTACTGGTTAAAAACCTCTTCGAGGAATTATGGTATTCGTAGAGATTTTACCTCATTAACTTAGAAAGTAATACCTTGTGGGCCTCAGATATACGGCCCCAAAATTAACAGCCCCAGGTCGATAGCCCCCCCGCCACAGAGATAGCGCCTCCCCCCCCCCCCATACGACTTCAAAGTTTCGTACTGATAGCCAGCAATGTTTCCACCCACCCCTCCACACCTTAAAAATCCCATACTGATGGCCCCAGATTGGTAGTACCAACAGTGATAGCCCACTCCCCCTCTATGTCTTAAAAGTTCTCTAACATTGTTGATCGCCCCAAAGTGTCCCACCCCCCCCCTCCACACCGTAAAAGTTCCATACTGTTGAACCCCACAATGGCTCCACATTGATGGCCCCCACTATAAAATTCCCCACATTGATGGCCCCCACTATAAAATCCCCCACAATAATGACCACACCTTGAATCCCCCATATTGATGACCTCAACCTTAAAATCCCCCAAAATGACAACCACAGCTTGAATCCTCCACCACTCCCCCCACACAATACACACCTTATGTCTGGCTCTA